GGCGGTGCTGGTTTTGGGCTAGGAAGTGGTGCTGGTGGTTCTGGCTATGGACAGGGAAGTGGTGCAGGTGGTTCTGGTTATGGGCAAGGGAGTGGTTCTACCGGTTCCGGTTATGGACAAGGAAGTGGCGCTGGTGGTTCTGGTTATGGGCAAGGAAGTGGTGCTATCGGATCCAGTTATGGACAGGGAAGTGGATCTGGTGGTTCCGGATATGGACATGGAAGCGGTATTGGTGGATCTGGTTACGGACAAGGCAGCGGTTCCGGTGGTTTCGGACACGGAGTTGGTTATGGTTCAGGAAGTGGTTCTGGTAGTAACAACGTTGGATATGGTCATGGAACCGGAGGGAGCTATGTAAATGGTTTCGGAGCTGGCCAAGGTAGTGGTTTCGGTGGCGGATCTGGCCAAGGAAGTGGTTACGGAAGTGGATCCGGACAAGGAGGTGGATTCGGAGGTGGTGTCGGTCACGGACACGGACACGGTGGTGGTTTCGGGCACGGCGGAGGTTTTGGCCACGGTGGTGGATTCGGCCACGGTGCTGGATTTGGTCATGGCGGTGGTTACGGCGTCGGCGGTGGATTCGGCGTTGGTCATGGTGCACATAGTATCTTCGGTCTACACCACAAGCCTCAACTCATTGGAGCCCTAGCACATGGTGGCGGCGGTCAATTCGGCGGTGGTCTTGGATTCGGAGGCGGTGCCGGCGGTGGTGCAGCAGCCACTTATGGCTAACGCCACAGGCCATACGCATATTGCAACTTAAACAATAATAKTTATAATTACAATATATAACCACCATATAATATATAAAATTATTTATTCATATATAACTTATTTGTGCACGTTCACTGACTAAATCACACATCAAAACTTGTTTTACTATTTTATTGTATTTATTTATTTAATTTCTTTATCATAATATTCTATTATACTTAAATATGTATATTTTTATTTATACTTATAACATTAAAAAATCTTGTTTCCGTTKAACTCATGTGTATAGTATTACTATTACAGATGTCATATGAAATAAATACATTCAGATATCGGTTTATTTAATTTTTAATCATTTCTGATGACTTAGGTACCAAATATAACAATATATAACTTTATAATATTGATATCGTTTTTAGAAACGTACCTATTGAATGCATCACAAAAACCGAATAAATGTTTATAATAATTTATTAATTTATTACTACTGTCGATTACTGTTAGGAAAATTTAATTGTTTTTATGATATTTTTCAAAAACTTGTGACAGCTGAATTGTTTGTATACGACTTTCATCAAAATTGTATGTGATGCTATTTTTTATTTTATTTATTTATTTATTTTTTTTTTTTTGATAAATAAGATGGTTATTCAAATGTAAAAAAAACCGGAGAAAATCGCTTAGAAAATCTGCTGTATATTTAGTAGTTAATAGAAATGTTTCGAATAAAATATAATAAGTATATAC